ACCACCACCACCACCACCACCACCACCACCACCACCACCACCACCACCACCACCACCACCAATCCTAATGCAACTACTACTACCACAAATCTAATATCAGTTTCTAGTTTCATTAATGAGTAGTGGTAGTAGCAGACATTTTCGCCAATCTAGTGGTTACTTTATTCTAGCGTTCGACGTTTCTAATATAACATTTCTTGGGACAAAGAACGCGATAATTGCCCAGCCCAGAAGGGCAAAGATGGGGGTTGCGGGGAAGGATCACATTTTATTGGCCATCGGATTCGGGTTTTCGATGATTTTTTTGTTTATGGTATTGGTAATAACTGTTACTATTAAAGCCACTACCGATGCCACAACAACAGCAACAACTGTTACTATCAGTATTACTACCACTGCTACTACTACTGCCGCCACTATTACTACTAGTACTATTGCTGCTATAACTCCTGCTGCTGCAATTACTACTACACTACTACTACTATTGCTACCACCAATACTACTACTAATACTACCACTATCTCCAACACCACTACTACAACTACCAATTTAATGTCAGTTTCCATTTTTACTAATGAGTAGTGGTTGTAGTGGACATGTTCGCCAATCCAGCGGTTATTTCATTCTGAAGTACAACGTTTCCAATGTAGCATTTCCTGAGACAAACAGCACGACGACTGCCCAGCCCAGGAGTTCATGTTTCTTAAGTTGAGTGAAATTCTTGCGTTCTAGAATTGTGCTGATTTTCTAAGACAAAAAAATTCCTAAGATCATCAAAATCAATAAACTGATTCGAGAAATAGATTGGCAACAATGTAATTTCGGTTTTCCGACGGTGTAAGCCGCCGATGTGGTTTTTGTTTGCAAGTGTTGTTTGAGGAGCGCGATATCGAGCATGTTCCACAAATCTGACTCCTTTTGTTGTCATCAAGTCTAGAAAGCTATCGATTTTCACGAAGAGATTTGTGGAGTTTGAAGAGCTGATTGGTCATTTGAAGGTGACAGAAGCCGACCAAGTCTAGACCATAATTCCGTCGGGTGGGATCACACTAGCTGTTGACTTTCGCGTCAATAGAAAACTGGCCACGATCCAGGCATGTTGAGGCCTTAAGCGCGGTGCAGGCACATGATCCATTTAGACGCTCACTGTCAACAGCCGATAGAAAACTTGACTTCGAAGTGGCATTCAGACTGGAAACATCAGCCAGGAATCGTGATCGACCACGATAACGTAGTGTTTGCTAATTCGTGGATATCACCAGAACGTGTTAAAGTTTGAATGGAAAAACAGTGGCATGACGATGACTTGAGACTTGATGACTAATATTACTGTTACTACTACTGCCACTAATACTACCACTGCCACTTCTCCTTCTACCACCAATGCCACTACCCCTTCTACTATTACTGCCACTACTACTACTACTACAAATACTGCCACTACGCCTGCTACTAGTACTGCCGCTACCCCTTCTACTACTGCCACTATTCCTTCTACCACCACCACTACTACTGTCACTACTCCTTGTACCACTACTACTAGTGACACTACTCCTTCTGCTACTATTGCCGCCACCCCTTCTACTACTACTACTACTACTACCACCACCACTACCACTACTACTAGATTAAACTGGCTCAAGTTTTTTTATTGACATCGACCAGAATTTCGACTAGCGTGGATTCATGGATGCACCGGGAAGTGTGCATGAGACTACCGTCAAGAAGAATTTCAACTGATTAGACCAAGTGAACTTGATTGCCAATTTGTTTTTTATAATATCGCTTTCTTCCACAAATTTATCTCCCATATCTGAAAGTGAATCCTATTAAGGAAAATCGAGGGTGTTGCACTAGATACTGAAATAAGGCAGGTACCAATTGAGTGATTTTATCTTGCTGCAATGCAAACTAACAAACTTGCCGCTTCGATTACTTGTGGGTTTTCGTGTCGCTTAATTAAGGATTGTGTTAATTTCTCACAAAGGGTGTTTACTGGTGCAATTTATAAAACAGGCAAATGCAGCTTTTATTCAGTCATCAAACGGGTTGCCAGGGGTCGCAGTTTGCACCAATGCGGTGCTAGAGTGGCGAGGCAGAAGAGGAGCGACTTGGGGTGTCCTCAAGGTCGCGCGCGTGAAGTTGACAGCGTTTAGCAAGTTCCGCCTGTCTTCGTTTTCGCCTCCTGGTTCCCTGCAAAGTGAAAATAAGCGGTTCCTTACCTAGTCCATTGCTAAAACGCCATTCCGAGTAGTGGTTTACTCGGGTGGTGGGGGGAGGGGTGACTTAATTGACCAATCAGAGGCGTTCAAGAGGGGTGTGAGAATGAGCAGATTTCAGCTCATATCACCGCCGAAGTATCAAGTTTATTTAAAAGGAATTTAGTGAGAAAATGCCTTGTCGATATTTCCAATTTACCGCAAGATTTAATAAATTAGGCAGCCCACAAGTATAACGCCGAGATCAAGCAACTACAACCTCGACCAATGAAATCGCTTATCTCATCTCGCTTCCTTAATTGGTTCCAGATTACACGACGAGAAGGACCATCTATTATTCAGATCACCTCTAAAGTGTGCAAACGGAAAGTGCGAAGCAGATCGGCGTAGCCATGAGCACTTGTCGTAACCTTAAACTTAGGGGAACATAAATTATGCAATCGATTTGCGACACCTGCAACATTGACGCCAGGTGGTGGTGGCGGTGGTGGCAGCGGTGTTTGAACGGGCAGGTGGGGTAACTGCCTATTCGGGTGACTAGTCAGTCAAAATTTCGATAACAGCGGGGAGCTCTTAAGCGTTCATTAACATCCCAAAATGGGGATGAGATCTGTAATCTTATCCATGCCCGTTTATCGATCGACAGACCGAGGACATTCGAAACTATTTGGCTGAGGTCTCAGCTTTGAACAAGTCTGCAGAACAAGGGACACCAACCTTTTCAACACTGAAGAACTCGGCCAACGACTCCTCCGAGCTACTATCAGATTCATCAGTAGTAGTGGCGACAGTTGTGGGGACAGCACTTCCAGCTGCAGATTTCAATCGAGGCGGGGCATCGGTCTTCTCGGTGGTGGTGACATCTTCTTGCCAAAGACCTGCTTCGTCCCAAAGCACGTAGCAGTTGTCAATTGATGATCGACAGAGGTTTGTCAATGGGTACTTTGTCCTGCAATCCAGCTGATAGTAAATGGTAACCTCTTCTGGTGAAAGTCGAAGACCTCCTTTGAAGCCGAGTTGTTCCAGTGATGCACCGATTGGCAAAAGTTCATCTTTTGGAAGGGCAGTTTGGTTGAAGAAAAGTCGTATAGACGGTGCGAGTATCCTGCAATTTTGTCTGAAAGCAAACAACGTGTGTACTTATTTTAATTAAGTAGACTATATTATTAAAATCAAGAAACCATGCACGATAATAGGAAACGGATCTAGAACCCCAGTATCAATTTCAAATAATGCAGTTACAATCTACGCACAGGCTTGTTAACTAGAGAAACCATTACTACAAATGCTGCGGACCAAATAATTAGGTGCTGCAGAGTTGAACAACCAAACTTTAGAGGATGAATTAATTTGTAAAGCTATGCAGGAATATACTATAAAAAAATTACGCATTTTTAGAATTTTGCCTGTTTTATGACAATTTTTTGTTTGAAGAAATTGACTTACCGAATAATATCTACCAAAAATTCAGTGGTGTAAAACGAAGGAACATCCTCGTCAAAATGAAGAGGATAAAAAGGAATGGCTGCCAGATTGACACTTCGGAAGTGAACTCGAACCCATCTACCAACACACAAAAATGCATTTTATTTATTCAAGTTAGATAAAAGAAAGGCAGACTTGTTTAACTAACGCAC